AGAGGTCTTGGGCACGTGTGACTTTTGTGTAAGTAGGCAGATTGAGAATGAAAATTTTGTAGCTTAATTTATAAGTCAATAGACAGAGCTATGGAAGATTAGGAGAAACCTGATAAGCAAGGTGCCCCTAAGTGTGATAATTAACAATCTCTTATATATTGTCACTTTTAAAAATCTTTTGCAGTGGACTAGCTGGAAATAGTGAATCTCATAATATGAAATGCTAAGGATAAGCAGCCCTTGTGTAAAACAGAACAGTAAATAGCTGAAATTATAAATTGAGGTTCTATGTGACACCATTGGAAAATAGATCCAGACATAACTGAATTTATTCTAGTTTCATTTTAAAGAAAATTTATTAGTATTATACTATACTAGGAAACTTATTAACTGTGTTGTTACAAGCCATGTTACCCCAGTTATATGATTTGTAATGTGCATAAAGTTAATGCCTAACATTAATTTGATAGTTCACTGAATTAGAAATATTGTTAGAAAAGTGAACTCTTCTATAATTCTTTTGGGTTATGGATTTAATTGTTAAAAGACTGATGTAAATATGTTATAAATACAACCTTTTTAAAAATAAAGATAGGAATAATGGTTTTCTGTGAAGTTGGCATAGCAAGGAGCCCTTTAAGATGTCCCCATCTGTGAAAGGCAGAGTCCTAAAATCCTCCTAGACCTGGTGCCAGTCTAAAGTGGCACCAAGTGCTTGCTTTTGTGACAGATTGGCAACTGAGCAGGGTGACAATATTTTAAGACTTTAAGATCTAGCCACAGGCTCAGTAAAGTACAGTGATCTGATTTTAGTTAAGAGCTAGAAATTACGAAAAAAAAGTTTTGTTCCTACAAAAAAAAAGTTCAGTCTCTAGCCATTGGACCATACTATCTTAAAAATGACTTTCAGCTTTGACTTTAGTTTCCTACTAGTAAGGATAGAAAAGTATCTGGTTAGTTGTGTCTACTCACCTTTGTAGGAAGCCCATATTATAAATCTAATACTGTATAAATATTGGATATGATAAAAAAAAATATTGGTTGTTGTGATCTGTGACTTATGTAGGACCTTAAATGGTTCCTTGTATTGTTCAAATTGAGAATTATTTAGTGAACTCCTTCTGTGAAAGATCTTGAAAGTTTCTGACTGGGGAAATTGGAACATGCCCTGTCAGCACTAGATCAAACACCTTAGGTCTTTTTTTTTTTCTTTTGACCTGGGCCAAAACTAGCTGTTTTCCTAGAATCTTATATTTTAGCCCAGCACACTTTAAGCTAACCTGATGATCATAGGTGAATTCAAACTGATGACACTTTATACGTATTTCCTAGTATTGTTAAAGTAAAATTAAGAACATGTCTATATTGTGAAACTTGGTAACACCAACATAGTTAGAAAAAGATTCTCTTATAATTTGAATATTGTTAGGTCTTAAATTCAGTGTTGAGTATTGCATATGGATTATAATGATGGAAAAAAATTTCTTCTCCATTTTTGTCAGATAAGAAGTTTGCCATGGTTATAAGAAGTTTTTTTCAACTCTTCTGGTGACATGTCCTGAATTCTATAATGCTTAAACATAAGAGCTCCAGAAGTAAAAACCTACCACATCTAATTAGAATGAGGAAATCTATAGATCAGTTTATGTAAGTTCCACTTATATTTGTTCAAAATAATTTTCTGTGTAAAATAATTTAGAGATGCAAATCAAAACAACCCTGAGGTTCCACATCATACTTATCAGAGTGGCTAATGTGACAGAAAAGGAAAATGATAAATGTTGGAGAAGATGTGGGAAAACTGGGACACTAATGCATTGTTGATGGAGTTGTGAGTTGATCCAACCATTCTGGAGAGCAATTTTGAACTATGCTCCAAAGGCTCTAAAACTGTGCGTACCCTTTGATCCAGCAATACCACTTCTGTGATCCCAAAGAGATCATAAAAAAGAGAAAAGGACCCACATGTGCAAAAGCATTTATAGCAGCCCTTTTTGTGGTGGTAAAATATTGGAAATGGAGGGGATGCTCATCAATTACAGAATGACTGAACAAATTGTGGTATATGAATATAATGGAATACTGTTGTGCTATAAGAAATGATGAACAGGCTGACTTCAGAAAAATCTAGAAAGACTTGTATGGACTGATGCTGAGTGAAGTGAGCAGAACCAGGAGGACGTTGTACACAGTAACAGCAATGTTGTGAGATGACCAACTAGGACTGATTTAGGTCTTCTCGGCAATACAATGATTCGAGACAATTCCATCTCATCGTGGAAAATGCTATCCACGTCCAGAGAAAGAACTATGGAGTCTGCTTGCAGATTGAAGCATGATGTTTTCATTCTTTTTTTTTTTTGTCTGTTTGTTCTGTTTCTTCTTTTACAATGTAACTAATGTGGAAACAGGTTTACATTACTACACATGTATAACCTGTATCAGATTGCTTGCCATCTTGGGGAGGGGAGATGGGAAGGAGGAAAAGAAAAATTTTGAAATTCAAATCTTATAAAAAACGAATGTTGAAAACAATTTTTAAAAACAAATTTTACATGTAATTGGAAAAATTTTTACAAGTATTGGAAAAATAAAATACTATTTACAAAAAAAAGAAAGGAAGGAAGGAAGGAAGAAAGAAAAAAAAAAGAAAGAAAAAAGTACTATTAGGCCAATGATGCCAAGAACCCTGAGGTTGACATCTATGAACTGCAGGTGGAGTTCTCATGGGAAAAGCTAAGATACCAGCTCAATTTTCCAGTATGACATTTCTTCTTGAATGGAAATATTCCACCATTTAAGCACGGCTCAATGCAATTGCCTATCTGTAAGACTCTTGCCTGGGACTGACATGAAGTTAGGGAAGCATTATTTCCTATGTCCCTCATTCTCCTTTTATGGCAAATTTCCATAACCATGTCTGGTGATCAGGATGAACACAACCTTCATCTCAGAGGCTAATACTGGAGCCCATCTGAGCTATTACAACAAGCAGCAGGTATGAGATCGTGGAGCTTTTTAGCTCAGAACGTTAGTCTTTTCTATATTCTGACCAGCTAAGTAGACACATATGGGGCCTTGTCATCTGTCTGTTATTAATTATATGTATTTATGTATAAATCAGGGCCCTTAAATGTTTCAAAATAATGTAAGAATCATTGGGTATTGATGCAACAGTTTATGGGACTGGGCTGTATTCTATTATTAAGACTAAATCAGAAACATCTTCAGTTTTATTTTGAAGAAAGTGATTTTGGTGCAAACAACTTCCTTAGAGGAGAGTAATTTATGGAATAGCTTGTGTTACCTAGATGGGAAAAGTTAATTTTATTTGGGTTTATTATTTAATTTGGAATTACCATTGGGTATTGAGCATGTCTTAGAGTACAAACATGTTTTATTGTAAACAACTTCTTTGATATGCACGGTTTTGAAATGAATTACTCCATGTATTTACACATCCCATCCCAGAACCTTTTGGTACAATTCAAGTCAATCTGGCAACTTCTGCATGAATTCATTTTTATATTAGAGCTTATCTTATTAAAAAATGTTCTGTTATTAGCTCCTTAGCAGAATTCTTCCTGAGGTGGGAATGAGCAGCTAAAAGTAAAAAACTAGATTTTGGTTTTGGTGAAAATTAAGTAATAATAAAGTCATATGTGAATATATATGTATATACATACATACACGAATTGGGTTCAGAATTTTCTCATTTTTCAGTATGTATTTGAATTTCCTAAATATATCAACATGACAATTTGCTAACCCACATCACAAGGCAAACATGGGTGATAAACCAGAAATTAGACAATGGTAGAATCTGTGCCAATTTAAAAGGCACCTTTTAGACTCATCCTCTGTAACTATATTAGTGGATATCAAATTCATAACTAAAAGGGCTCATTCTACAAATCAGATCCTCCCAGATTCTTTTTAGATTCTCCTGTCAGTCTGTTTTTGGCAGTATCCAAATAACTGGTTTAGATAAGGACAGGAGCAGCATAGAAAAGCATGGAAAAATGCATGTTCGCTGGTGTAGAAATTTCTAATTTGATGTTCTTATCAGAGCTATAAGGTATAAATGAACTCACACTACTTGACCTCATTACTGACAAAGCAAACCTGCATTGTATTAAGATCTGTTTTGTAAGCGATTTCAACAGAAAAAATTACCTGCAGGTGACCTGAACTGGACGAGCAAATCCTCTAAAAAGCTGCTCTGAAATGCCGCCCAGACCAAAGGACTGCATTAGGAGATGTTGTCAGAAGCCAAGCCCTAAGACAGGATGCATTGATGGAATGCACAGATGGGAGTGGGGTACCCTTCCCTTTGGACTTCTTCCCAATGCTGCTGTCTTCTGGGTAATGCCTGTTTGCTTGCTGGGAACTGCTCCCACCAAGCTCCTGTCAATGCCTCAATCAATGTCTCTCCCCTCCTGAATGCTATTGAATGTCATACTGCTTAGTTCATTGAGCCCATTCATTGAGAGAACTCCCCTTCTTAGAATCAGAGGGGGGAATGACAGAAAGTTGTTAACACCAAATGTTACTTGCCACTCCATGATCTTAGAAATGTCAGAATTTCAGTAATGTCTTTACAATCCTACTCTTAAGAGATTCACTCTGTTATCTCAATTAAAAGCAGTCTATTCCTCAACTCGTGGCTTTGATTTATTTCAGAACTTGACACTGGATGGGATTTCCTTCCCAAGTTAACTTAGTTGGTTTGATTTATGCTTGGTCAAGGTAGACAATTAATTAATGTTAGTTGACTGACTGATTGCTTTTTCCCGACCAGACTTTTCCTAACTTTTCCTCTTGGGAGTCTCCTGCTCTCCCCCTTTGGAATCCAGTTGAGCCTTGTGGGTGCCTCAGCTTGGCATGTGTGGGGGGTGAGCCCAGGATCACTCCTCTTTCCCCTCCCCTCAAGACTGGTCTGGATTTCACCCTAGCCCTCCACCCGACCCCACGCAGCAGAGGTAACCCCACTCACCCACCTTGACAACTCAGTGCCAACTCTGAAGAGGCCACTTGGAAGGAGAGGTCAAGCATAAGACAAAATTGGGAGAGCCCGGCCTGGTTCAAAAGAAGGCCTTTCTCCAAAGAAGGCCACTGACTTCCTGGTTCCTGCGGGTAGGTTGGACCAGGGCAGACTCAGGGACTTCCTGCTTGGTTCTGGGGCGGAGCCCTCCCACTTGGCGCCAAGACTGGGGTAGGACAGCCCGGGGGGGACGCCACCAGAGGGCACTCCAAGACCAGGCACTGCCTGCACATGCCTCCAGCCAGCCCTTGTTACTGCTGATGCAAGCTTGCTTCTTATACCTGAAGCCCTGCCCAGCTCCATCCTCACCTCCCAAGTGCTGTGATTAGGCCACATTGGCCACCTCCCTTTTCCCTCACACTGCAATCTCCAGACTCCCAGCATTGGACTCTGGGTCCTGCCTGCAGCAGTCTGTCACCAAGCATTGATTAAGTGCTTACTGTATGCCAGAGATGCAAGGAAAGGCAAAAACTCAAAACCAAAGCCCTGCTTGTCCCTTGCTCATAAACTGCTGGGCTGTGTTTTGTCCTAACCCTCCATCTCTGAACTCTAGGTATTTTTTTTTTCTTTTTAGGGAGGCAGTCGGGATTAAGTGACTTGCCCAGGGTCACACAGCTAGTAAGTATCATGTGTCTGAGGACAGATTTGAACTCAGGTCCTCCTGACTCCAAAGCCAGAGCTCTATCTGCTTCGCTACCTGGCTGCCCCTGACTCCAGGCATTTTTGCTGGCTCTCCCCCAACCTTACTCCTGTCCACCTCCTGGCTTCCCTGGCTTCTGTCCAGTCTCAGCTAACACTGGAGCCTCTGTAAGAAGCCTCTCCCAGCCCTCCTCGATCTGAGTGCCTTCCCCTGCTGATCACCTCCGGTAGCTCCTGTCGGGAGCTTGTTTGGACACGCGTGCTTGCAAGTTGTTTCCCTTGTTAGACCGGGAGCTTCTTGAGGGCAGGACTGCCACAGAGTAGGTGCTTAATGAATGTTTACTGACTGGCAGACTGCTATGGGGAGGACCCCAGTCCTGGAATGAAAGACCTGCAGCCTGAGTATCATAGACTCACCTAGAATGGGAAGGGACCTCAAAGGTCATGCAGTTCACCTCCAGGTTTTATAGATGGGGAAACTGAGGCCTAGACAATGTAAGAGACTTGTCCAAAGCCACCTGGATAGTGCCAGAAGCAGCATTTGAATCCAGGTGCCCTGATTCCAGTGACAGGCTCTCTCCATTGTACTGAGTGGCTTCCATTTCAGCGTCAGCTCCAGAGAGTTGTGGGTCAGCAGCTGCCACAGGTCAGCTCCTAGGGGCTAGACAGTCCCTTACATGTCACGGACTTTAATCTCCTCATTTAACATAAGAGGGAGCTGAGGTTCAGAGAGGGAGAAGGTCTTGCCTACGATTGCACCGGGAATGAGGAAACAGAGCTCCTGTGCCCATCTTATACCCAGAGATGAGTATATATGTGTGGGTGTGTATATACTTACTGAGGCAGTATGCTATATTGGGTAGAGTTATACCCTTAGAGTCAGGAGGACCTGAGTGTGACTGTGCAGTGTGACTGTCACTGTCCTGGAGGCCAAGAGACCTCTGAATGCAGTCCAAGCTCTCTTGAGTATTTTTTCTGCTGTGATATCGCTATGCTACTGACTCACCCTCTCCTCGACACCCCCTAAAACCCTAGGACACTTCTTTCCCTATTCCTCCCCATCTTTGGAATGACATCCTTCACACACGCTGAAATAGTCCTGAGGGCACAAGCCTGGCTGCCCCACTATCAGGATCAAGAATCTTTCATGTCTCCCTGCTGGCACATTTTGGGTACAAAAGGGCCACAAGAATATTCATTCACTCAACAAGCATTTTAAAAAAAGTTACATTTTATTTTATTTCCCAATTACATACAAAACCACTTTTTACCATTCTTTTCTTTTTTAATTTTGAGTTCCAAGATCACTCCCTCCCTTACACCCCTCCCTCTCCTTGAGAAGGCAAGCAATTTGATATAGTTTATAAATGCACACTTATATAAAACATATTTCCATATTGGTCAAGTTGTGACAGAAAATACAGACCAAAAAATAATAACTCAAGAAACATGAAGTTGAAAACAGCATTCTTCAGTCCACCCTCAGACTCCATCAGAGCTTTCTCTGGAGGTAGGTAGCACTTTTCATAATGAGTCCTTCGGGATTGTCTCGGATCGTTGGATTGCTGAGAACGGACAAGTCCTTCACAGCTGATTATGGTATTTCACAATACAACATAGTAAGAATCAACAAGCATTTATCGGGCACCTCTTCTGTGTGAGTCACTTTGCTTGGCTCTGGGTATGCAGAAACCCAAAGGATTGTGGCCCCCAAGCCATGGAGGTGTCCTCCGCACCTCCTCCCGTCCACTGACTCCTCACAGACACCCAGTCGTCCAGTCTTTGCGGCATCTCTTGAACTCACCCCCTTCTTTCCTCTGGCGCTGCCCCCACCCTGGTGCCGACCCCCATCTGCTCACACCTGGACTATGGCAATGGCCACTGGGGGAGGGTCAGTCTGGCTCCAGTCTCTTCCCCTCCAGTCCATCCTCCATTCAGACACCAAAGGGATTGTTCTAAAGCCCAGGTCTGGCCTGTTGTCCCCCTATAACCTCTAAGACCCAATACAAAGTGCTCTGGTTGGCATTCAAAGCCCTTCACAGCCTTCCTCCACTGCAGGTCTTACACCTCTCTCCCTGACCCATACCAGGAGATGCAGGGACCCCACAAGTCACTGTTGTATTTATTTTATTTTATTTCCCAGTTATGTATCTCCCAGTACTGGCTCTCATCACTGGCTGGCTCCCACGCCTGGAATGCCAGCCTCTTCCTCTCCACCTCTGCCCCTTCGAGGCTCAGCTCAGATCTGCCCTTCTCTCTTCTCCCTCTGCTCTCCCCAGAGGCTCCCCCTTGAGATCACCTCCCGTCTACACTGGGCATATCCCATTTCTGTCTGTTGAGAACAAGCCACCTGCCGAGTGACCCATTCAACTTCTTTTTAAAACTTTGTCAGGGCTGGTTTGCTTCTGGACAGACATTTGTACCTAATTGTCTGCATGGTGTCCCTCCGAGCATGAGGCTCAGCTTCTCCAGGGTGGGACAGGGACTGTGTTTTTGCCTTTTTTTGAATCTTTCTTTTGTTTTTGGAGGGGGTATTTCATGTAGATGGGCTAGACTCACATTTCTCTTTTTCTTTTTCTTTCTTTTTTTGGGGGGGGAGGGTTAGGCAGTGAGGTTAAGTGACTTGCCCAGGATCACACAGCTAGTAAGTGTCAAGTGTCTGAGGCTGGATTTGAACTCAGGTCCTCCTGACTCCAGGGCCGGTGCTTTATCCACTGTGCCACCTAGCTGCACCCCCTGGACTCACGTTTCTCTAGGACCTTCTGCATGCCCAGTACCAGCTTGTGTTGGCTGTCTGTGTATCTAGCCTTTGATAGCCCTGGACCTGTCAGGGAGAAGCCCCCAAAGTCACTTAATGACAAAGAGTACCCTTTGCCATGATCCTCCTAGAAGAGGCACGGGCCATTTGTCTCTCCTATCCCTGCCTTTTTACAAGCCATAAGACACGTGGGATCCTGGGAAAGCCTTGCCAGGAACATGGCAAGCCATAGGGACTGGCATTTGTCACCTCTTCAGGGTTAAATAAAGCTGATGGGAGACAAAATCCCCCCAATCCCCTCTGTCTTCCACTTTGGTTTTCTCCAGAGGCTCCCAGGCCTTTTAGATGCTTGCCCTGCCCCACCCCTCCTCCAATGGTGCCATATTTTATTCCCATTTCTGGACTCCTGAAGACTTCTTTCCTAGATCCTCCAGGGGGAGCTCCAGGCCTTTGGGAGGGACCCGCCTAGTTGTGGAGCCAGAGCAGTTTCCAGCAGAGGTTTCTAGGTTAGAAGCCATGTGGACCAGGATGACCGGTGGGCGTTATGTGGGCATTCACAGCACTGCAGAGTGGGAGGGAGTTCAGAGTAAATAGACCCACAGGGTCTCAGAAGTGAAAGGACCAGCTAGGTCAACTGGTACCTGAACAAGAATCCCTGCTAAGACGTCCTAGAGGAGTGGTCATCCGCCTCTGCTGGAAGGCCTTCTGGAACAGGGAGCTCATTACCTCTTGGGCAGCCTGTTCTTACTTTGGGGATAGGTGGTTAGAAGTTTCCCTTTGCATCAGGCTGGCCCCTACTTCTACACACTGAGAACAAGTAAACAGTTCTGATCCCTTCGCCACTGGAAAGCAGAGAGCCAAGGATGTACTTTGAGTATCGGGAGCCGAGTTCAGATTCCAGCTCCGCCATTCCTCACCTGTGTGACCCTGGGCACGTCACCTCAACTCTTCAGGCCTCGAGCTCCTATCTGTGAAGGAGGGCTATGGGCTCGGTGACCTCTAAGGTGCCTCCCAGCCGGAGGTCTAGGACTCTGTGACGTGACACTAAGTATTATTGAATCTCATCTAATTAGTACCTAAACCCTAGTTTGTCAAGATCTGTTTGGATCTGGAGAGCCCTGAGGGAGAAAAAGGAGTGATGGCCCCTGGAGACCCTCACTGGCATCTTGGGGGGCAAAGATGAAAGTCCAAGAGCATGGGAAGTGTGTGCACATCTACCCGAAACTAGGGGTCTCAACGGCATCACCAGGGATCTGCCCGCCGTCTTGTTAGGCCCCTAACTTAGCTGCTGCTCTCTGGAGCAGGTGGTGGGGCGGACTGTGTTCATAGGGTGACTCTCTGCCTGATGAGGCAGTGATGGTGGGCATAGAGACAGATGGACGGGCCGAGTACCAGGCTTGTTCAGAAGGTACAGTAACAGCAATATTGTAAGATGGTCAGCTGCGGAAGACTTGGCCGTTCTGATCAATACAATGACCTAAGCCAGTTCTGAAGGACTTGTGACGAAGAATGCTTCCACCTGCAGAGAGAGAACTGATGCGTTCTGAGTGCGGGTGGAAGCAGACTTCTTTCCCACTTCCTTTATTTTTCTTGGTTTTGTGTGTATGTGTTTTGTAACATGGCTAATATGGAAATATGTTTTGCAAGACTCACGTGTATTATCAGTATCCTATTGCTTGCCTTCTTGAGGGGTAGGGGAGGGGCAGGG